ATATATGATCTGGGAAGAAATACCTTATAGATATCTTTTTGTCAAAAAACCTTAATGGTGCTCTTTTCAGAAAAAGTAACGTGCTACAGAGAAGACAAGTCATGACTCCATAGCATCTTACTACGCCTGTAGTGAATAGAGGGGGTGAGGACTTGATAATATGGGTGAATGTTGAAACCACAGCGTTCAAGGGAAACCATCATAAGATTGTGTATCAATGATACTTTAATTAAGAAAAGAAAAAATAACGTGCTAAGTGTGCTACTGACTTGCCATTGCTGCTAAAGCATGAGCTTTAATTAAATGCAGTTGCCCATGTGGGCAAGGCCATCAGTAGGCCAGTATCATTCATTGTTCTGCACCCCACTCCACCCACCCAAACAAATAAGTGAATGTTAAGATCGTGGCAGCCTCCAGCAAAAAGTCAAAGGCCTCAGACACCCAACTCTGAAGAATACTCTTCTGCCCTCCCAGGCTCTTTCAACTGTTGGGGAAATACAATTTTAAAAAAATCTTCCCCCAACCCAGAAACCTCTCCACGCAGGCAGTAGAGAAAGAAAGTAGTTTTACTGCTGAATAAGCCTTAAATGTGAATGTGATGCTCATTACAGGCAAGGTGCTAAAAGATTGCAAAGACACAATCTCTGCTTTACATAGCCAAGCAGATAGAACCCATTTCATGCATGTTCTCAAGATAAACGATCACTAGTCCTCAAAGGAGAAGGCTTGACAGGGACCTTTGGTCACACATCATTTGTCCTGACTTTATCATGGTAACTGGGAGACCACCTGTGTTGACTTCCCCAGAGGAAAAACAAACTTCTCATATCTTTAGGACAAGAGATAGTTTTGCAAATTGGAGCAAGGCGTCCACAGAAGTTAGACTCTTAGCTTCCCCAGGAACTGGAAGACTGGGACACTATCTCTCCAAATGTGTGTATTTCAAAAGATGGCTCTCAGGTCCTGGAGGAAATGGTCTTGGTGTGAGGTTATTTAGCCTTATAAAGATAGACCTATATTTGAAAAGGACACAGAAAGAAATTTTGAAAGAAAAAGGCAGTGGGAGTTGGGAGTTCTCCCTTATTTTCTCTCCTTATTTCGGCAGGGAGAATTAAGTCTNAAAGAAAAAGGCAGTGGGAGTTGGGAGTTCTCCCTTATTTTCTCTCCTTATTTCGGCAGGGAGAATTAAGTCTTTTCTGCTCAATTTGTCTTTGTCTTTACACAACACAGCTGTAGTTTTGTTCCCAGTCATCTGAGGGTGTAGCTGGGCGAATGTGATGTCAGGGTGAGCAGAAATCAATCAGCCAATCATTCTGCTCTTATTTTAAAAATATGTTGTGGAATATTTTCAACCTTCAAAAAGTAATGAAGTTCTGATACATGCTATAACATGGATGAACCTTGATAACATTATTCTAAAGGCAATAAGCCAGACACAAAAGGACAAATATTGTGTTATTCCACTTATGTGAGGTACCTAGAGTCATCAAATTCATAGGGACAGAAAGTGGCATAATAGTTGCCAGGACCTGGGGTAAGGGGCAAATGAGAGTTATTGTTTGATGGGTATAGAGTTTCAGTTGGGGATGATGAAAAAGTTATGGAGATGGATTGTTGTGATGACAGTTGCACAAAAATGTGCATATATTTAATGTCATGGAATTAAATACATGCACACTTAAAAATGTTTAAAATGGTGAAATGTATGTACTGTGAACTGTATGTATATGTACCTATGTGTATATGTGTGTGTGCATATAAAATAAGTGTATCACCTGTGTCACCACCGCCCAGGTCAAGAATGCCTTCTTCCCCTGCACTTACAGTCATGCTGGTGGAGAGGGTCAGAATAGGGGGAGGCAGATTCTCTCTCTGTGACTTCCATAACTACCTGGACATTTTCCATTTGATTTCTACTTCTAGATGTTCTCCATGTATGGGTCTGAGTTAACCGACTTGTTTTTCCTTTCACAGAACCGTTACCAGAAGAAGAAAACATTTTGACAGCTAACCTCACCAACATCTAACAGATCTTATTTCCTGCCCCCTGCCCATCCTTTGTGGTGGGTCTTGACCTACATTTCATTTCCAGGTTGTAGTCAGATGACTGGCTCTTGAGGCGACAATGTGCAGCAGTATTTGGCAGGGTCTTTTGTTTTCCCACTCTTCCTGCCAGCATTATTGGTACCTTACCCCAAAAAGAGGTTCCTGAAAAGTGATGTGTGAATGGAATTCAGGCTGGGAAAAATCATAATGTAAAGGTTTTCTGAATGAATCATAGAAAGAAATGTTCTTGGATGGTGGATGAACTGTCCTCTATTTCAGTGTTTCTCAATTTTTTTTAGACCTCAACCCACAGGAAGAAAAACATTTTATATCGCCCCACTACATGCATGCATGGACACAACTGACCCAAACATTTCACAGAACAATACTTAACCTTGCTACACAAGATACATTCTGAAACTTTTTCCTAATCTCCTTCATAAAAATGCTGGTTACAACCCACTAAAACTGAGTTCAGGACTCATAAATGGGTCTCAGCCCACTGTTTTAAGATATTATAGCAATCTTAAAATTCCTGTCCCTAAAATATGAGAAGCAGTGACTCTTCCAGACACTGTAGGAGAAAAAATTAAGCCTCAGCTTTATGCTTCTACCACCAGAAATGTGGACTGAAAAACTCTAGGTTTCCTTAGACTTTGAATTTAACTTTCATTCTGTGGTAGATCGTTTGAGGGAAGAAAGAGATGAAAAAGTTTTCACCTCTTCCCATGCAAATTTAAAGCTGTTTTGGTTTTCTTAATCTTCATCTTTGGATCTCAGTGACGCTTCAGAAAGAGTTATTCACGTCCACAAAACAAGTAAATGACTCAAGACCCAGATTTGAATCTTCCTTTAGGTTGCTGTCGTCACAGCTGGGCAGCCCCCCTGCCCAGTCAAACAAGGGACATCAGCGAAAACTGGGGGGCAAAGGCTGCGTAAGCGGAGGTGAGCAGAAAGAAGGTGCAGGGCGACCCACTAGGCGCTGGCTGAGCTCCCTGGCTCGTCTTGGCATTGGCCTTGCTAGGCGACAAATGAATGTGTCCCGGGAAGCTGGCTTTGCACGGTGCGCGCTGGCCAGCGCCTCACCTGCTTGTCCCCAGCCGGCAGCTCCCGCTGAGTTCCGGGGCGCTGGAAGGGTTCGCACCTTCCTTTCACTTTCTCAGGCCGCCCAACCTGACACCTGGGGACAGGACTACAGGTCCCACCACGCTTGCGAGGCAGGAGGAAGAAGGGGCACTGAGGGCCGAAAAGGAAAACAAGGAGAAGAAGAAAACCTTACCTGCTGGCAGAGGTGAGAGCAAGCCAGGTAAAGCAACAGGTGAAGGAGGAAGGTGAAGGCTACGGGATGCAGATGGAGGGTGTCCTGGGGGCGGGGGCGGGGGACACTGCTCGGCTCTCCTAGCAGGGTGTCCAGTAGGTTAAGGTAAAGGGGGGCTTTTGTGGGGACCCCAGGACTGTCGTGGGGGGAGGGGCGGGGGCGGGGGTGCAAAAGACACGGAAGCAAGAATGCAGCTCAAATTACAGTGATAAGACACCGGAAGTGGAATGGCTTCATTTGAAAAGTCAGAAGGGGGGGAAAAGTGGCCTGCCTCTTGTCTGCTAGATCATTTAGCCACAGGTGATTTCAAATGCCTTCTTCTTCATGGAATGCTCAGGGTTTTTACAAACGGATTGGGTATTTGTGTACATTTTAATTTGTGTGATGCTGTAGAATTTTCCTTTTCTAGGACTTCAGAGAAAACCAAAGAATAAAAGTGGTGGGGGGGGATGGGGAAGGGTGTCATAAAGCAGGAGCAATTTGCAGCACATCAAATGTGATCGTCAAATGGCATAAGGTTTCATGTATTTGTATGAGACATTTGATGAGGGGGCCCAACACAATATCATGTGAAGAACAGTTAAAGGGCCCAGGGAGATTTGCCTCGAGGGGGTATGCTTGTTGCTTCCAGTATCTAATGGGCTGTGGGGTGGCATAGGAATCTGTCAGTCTGGCATAGCACAGGGTCAACAGACGGAAACCCCCGAGAGATTCAACCCTATGTAAAGTAGAGCTGTGCACACAAAATGGATTTTTTCAAGGAGTTAGTGCATTCCTACTGATCAAAAATATTGAAGCATAAGTAGATATTTAAGCATGATGTTAAAGCATAGATATTTTTGACCATAGATATTTAGAGATGCTGAAGTGGGAATAAAGTTGCAGGTGAATGACTGTGTTGATCAATGCTTCCCAAACCTGACTGGTCATCAGGATTACCTGAAGAGTATATGCCTGTGTGTGTACATGTTTTTAAATATATTTAGGAGATCTGGGATGGGCTCCAGGAATATTTATTTTTAGTAATCTTCCCTGATAATTCTGATATAATCAGTTAGTTTGGGAAATATTGTCATTAGAAGCATTAAGTTATTTTCCAGCCTATGGTAAAGCGTAACATAAATTTAAATCATAGTTTTCATTTTGAATATTCTCAAAATCCTAATTTCCCAGTCAAAAAAACTTTGGCATCAACGAGAAGGAACAGGCCACGGCACTCTTCCCTAAACTGACCTCTCCAGCACACCTTGTGGGGACTTGTTGCCGGTTGCCTGGACATTCAGTCTGCCAGAAGTTGGGAGTTTTCCTCCCCATGTGAAATAGAGATTGGATGCCAGCCAGAAAGGCAGGTAAAACACTCCTATGGGCATCCTCTCTGCTACCCTCCTGTTGTTGGACAACTGACAGAGCAAAGGCACCTGGCCTCAGTGACTAAGATTTCAGTCTGTGTGGTTACTGTAGTGTTGCTGTGTACTAGGCCCAGTGAGAATGGCACAGACTCTTCATTCTGAGGGCAGCCCCAAAGTAATGGCAACCCCCTAGGGCAGGTGTGGGCTTGTGGGGCAGTTCCCTCGCACCTGACCAGTGATTAGTGCCCTCCCTCGAGGACGTTGGTGCTGTGGAAGCTGTGACCTCCCTCTGTCTTGTCCTGTACTGGACTCAGAGTGCTAACACAGTGCCTGGTGCTTGCTAAAGAGACACTGAACTCCTTCTTTTCTTCTTAGGTCCATTCTAGGTGGCAAGAGCCATGCAGTTCTCCAGCTTAGCCAGGGCAGCAGATGAGAACTTTGACTATTTGTTCAAGATTATCCTCATCGGAGATTCCAATGTGGGCAAGACATGTGTGGTGCAGCATTTCAAATCCGGGGTCTACACAGAGACACAGCAAAACACAATTGGGGTG